TATATATATATATGTATGTATGACTCTTTAACTATATGTGTGTATATGTGTAAACAAGTGTATATAACAAGTGCATATTTTGCTCTAACCCGCTAGGCCAACACTCCCTATATACTCTCTTGTACATCATTGTATTACATGTGAATTCAAACTAGTCAAACTCAGTTTAAACTTGGAATTGGTATTGCCAAGGAGAGTATTAGTTATACTGTTGAAGTTATAAAATACAGTCAGAGAGCAGTTTTTCCTTTCCTCAGGCCATAGTACATATCTGTGAGTAATAAAACATTATTTGATGCTATATTCAGTATTTTTATAGTATTTGCATGTTAACGCTATTATTCCGCACTCAGTTGCACATTCAACTAAAGTTATTATAGTGTTTTTCAGACATAATTCAAAACTTTCCATTTTATCTGTGCAGTTTGTGTATATGTCTACAGACTGACATGAAGTGAACTGCATCTGCAGATGATCAATGTCAAAACAAACCAGATATACTACTTAAAAAATACCTTTCTGGCATATTTGAAAATATTAAGCATCCCTTCAAAAAAAAGTCTCAAGAAGAAAGAATCCACAGCTGTGCTGGCACCTTTGCATATTCATGTGTCTCTGTAGAAAAATCAAAGCTGCTCTGATTCAACAGAACCCACACTAACAGGAGGGGAGGGAGTAAAAAAAGAAGTTTTCCCTTAATCCACCTACAAGATTTTCAGATGAGTTTTACACCTGGAAAATGACAACGCCCCAATTTGTAGGAGGCAAACAACAAGCTTCTTGCTCGTTGTGGAAAAACCTCAGCTTAGCTTTCAACGATCCTCCATCAGTATGTTAGGGATGACAGATAAAAACAGATTCAAAATGTCTTTTCTTTCAACCACTTTTCTGTATCACTTGGAACAGCTTCCCTTAGTTTACAGGTTACAGGAGATCCACTGGCGATGCTGCGTGAAACACAATCCACAACCTGCTTGCAAATACCCTTAAGCCTGGTTCCTCTGGTCTGCTACGGCGTCTGGTAGACAGGTTACTCCTGTACAGAGAAGCTGCATCTTGGGCAGTGAGGAGGGATTCTGTCATCTTGTCTATTAATATTGGTAGCATGCAAACCATTGAAAAATGAATTGCAGACTGAAGACCATACCTGCACTTTTAAAGAAAAGACTTGTTATGCACCTGGGTTAAATCTCAGGAGAGCTTCTAGAAACTCATGGGAACTTTAACAAAAAGAGAAATTTAAGATAAATGTTTGTTGCACCTGTGTAACCAAGACAGCAGATTTCTTCCTTCCTCTTATAAATTTGGAAGGACATTTTTATGCCACAGGGATACAAAAGTCAAAACAATTCCACATTAATCAAAGGTTTTGGTCTTTTTAACGTCATTTACGTTTCTAGCACCATCCTTACTGCTTTACAGTTCAGCATGAAATCAATCCAACTATAAATTATTCCTACAATTGGAAAAAAAAAGCCTCATAAAGGTTAAAGTAAACTTATACACTCATAGCTTTAGTCTATAAAACCCTTCCCACCAGGGTTTCATCTGACACTAAGTCAGACTTTTAAGAGACTGATGACAATTATTAAGAAAAGGGATTTTACAAACAAAACCTGGAACCTAAGAAAACATTACTTTAATAATATGAGAAGCAAAAACAAGTTGTGGTTAAACTTTCCTGTAAGTTTTGCCATATGTTTGCTGTTGAGGAGAGCCAATAAAGCAAAGGAAGAAGAGTTTCAGGTAATTTACCTCCTTTATCGTTCGCACCGTGGTGCCTTTAAACTTTTCTCCTCTTTCTGACTCCACATA